ACACGAATATCATAGCGCCGGTTCAACTTCAACTTCGACTCGCTGATCCAACTTTAACCCATTGCTCGAGCTATTTTCAACTATTTTTCTACATTTTGCTGGAAAATGAACTGTGACGGTTTGGCGTATTTTGCACACTCTACCTCGCCTAAAGAAAGAGTGCCTGGCGAAGCCGGGCCGTGATAAAGAAGGAGGAGCACCCGGCGACAGCCGGGTGATCCGACTGGTATTTCCATCCTTCAATGAGCGAGTGCCAATGTGCTTATCAGATTTTGAAACACAGATATTCGTTGGCAATAGAACGGCTTAGCGGTGAAAGGTAACAATATCGAAATCATAGTGAAATGTGCTTACATCATAATACTTCCGTTGAGCAGCTTTCACATATCCGTCTGTTGGTGGCTCTTATCATTCCCCACTGGCGAACAACTTTAAGCTTTTACTTTTTGTCGAAACTCGAGAGTTTAGCGGTCGAATCAATTCCGACTATAACACTAAAGGATAGAAACACTGAGCCTTTGCCCATTGATTCCATGGGCCACGGTGGTCAACATCAGTCGCAAGCGGAGTAAAGCTGCGAACAGATACTGACCCTTGTCGTACACTATATCACAACTTATCTCCCACCACCAATGTTCCCTAACCACCTCTGAATTGCTTACTGGAAGAAGTTCCCCAGTGTGCTACAACTCGTGCATTGAATTTTGTGGCTTCCTCTCTGAAGTGGCCCCTATGGTATCTTATCAGCTGTTATTACGCCCTGCCACCCACCAATAATGTTCCCATCCTGCCCCCTATCTTACTTCTTGGAACCGACGTCCCGTTGTTGCTGGGGTCGACGTTGTGAATTAGGTGTCCCTACCCTTCTAAGGCTCCTTATGGTATCTTATCAGCTGTTATCACTTCCTGCCACCCACCAATAATGTTCCCATCCTGCCCCTATCTTACTTCTTGGATCCAACGTCCGGTCGTTGCTCTGGCCGGTGTTATGAATTAGGTAACCCACTCCTTCTAAGGCTCCTTATGGTATCTTATCAGCTGTTATCACTTCCTGTCACCCACCAATAATGTTCCCATCCTGCCCCCTATCTAACTTCTTGAAATCAACGTCCCATCGCTGCTGTGGCCGGTGTTATGAATTAGGTGTCCCTTCCCTTCTAAGGCATTGCTCACAGTCTGCGGTCCAGCGTTTCTCTGGAACGCGGCGGTTCAGAAAGCTTTTGATACGTATCGACTGGCGGTTGGGCGAAGAGTCTGGCGGTTGGGCGAAAGGGTTTTGATACGAATCGACGGGCGTTTCGCCAAACCGCGACGTTTTTCGCCTTCGACGAAACGCTAGCTCGATCGCCGTGGCGTTTTTCGCCAGCGAAATCGATACACATCTATTGCTTTTCGCCCAACCGCCGAACCGCGGCGGTTCGGCGAAACTAGCGGTTGGCGATTCTCCGATCGATGACTATTTTTTGCTTTTCTCCCAACCGCCGTTTCGTCAGGGTCGCAGACTGTGAACAATGCCTAAGGCTCCTCAAGGTATCTTATCAGCTGTTATCACTGCCTGCCACCCACCAATAATGTTCCCATCCTGCCCCCTATCTTACTGCTTGGATCCAACGTCCGTCGTTGCTCTGGCCGGTGTTATGAATTAGGTAACCCACTCCTTCTAAGGCTCCTTATGGTATCTTATCAGCTGTTATCACTTCCTGCCACCCACCAACAATGTTCCTGCCCGACCCCCTACATCACTTATCAATTTGAGCGCTTTATCGCTATTTTGAAGAAAGTTATGAATTTCCGGTCAAACACACACACAGACAACATGACACACAAACAGTCCGAATAGACAAACTTAGAGCGATTATATATCCTACTATATATATCCAGCTAAAGTTTGTCTGTTGTGCTGTGTGTGTGTGTGATGTTGTGTCTCTCGCTCCCTGTATGTGTGTTTGACCCGGCAATTCATAACATTCTTTTAAAATTAGAGCTGAAGCGCTGAAATTCATGAGTGATGTAGGGGGTCGGGCATGAACTTTATTGGTGGGTGGCAGGAAGTGATAAGAGCAGATAAGATACCATAGCGGGGCTCAGAAGGGAAGGGTCACCAACTTCATAAAGCGCGTCATAGCAAGGCTAGGGCATTGGCTCCGAAAAGTAAGATAGGGGACAGGATGAGAATATTATTGAGTGGGGTGAGGCAGCGATACGGCTGATAAGATACCATAAGGCGGTTAGAAGACAGTGCGTTATCTAGTCATAACACGCGCCAGAGAGCACCGGAGACGTGGGTTCAAGAAACTCAGGCAGGAAGGGAGCATTATTGGTGGGTGGCAGGACGTGATAAGCTGACAAGTTATCAGAGGACCTTTTCGAAAGAGGGTGCCCCGAAGTTTAGCAGGAGTTGTAGCAACACTTCCTTACTCTGCTCAGCCTGAATCAGCACCAGTGCCCAAGAAACAATGGTCAGAGGCTTAGTCAAATTCTATCGCTTACAATTAGTGATATGGTTGGGACTGATTCGACCGCTAAGCTCTCGAGTTTCGACGTAAATTCAAAGCCCTGGAAGCTGCTCAACGGAAGTACTAGGATGTGAGAAATGTGAGGATATTTCACCATGATATCGATGTTATTACCATCGAAAGTCTTTCAACCGCTAAGCTGTCCTATTTCCAACGGATGGTGAGTGTTTCTTAGAAATGTGATAAGCACCAGACATTAGCAAACGTTCATTAAATAGGAGAAACATAATGAAATAGGCCGTATTCCAAAAAATTGTAATCGGGCCAAGTGTTTGGGGTCAATACAGTCAGCGATCAGTACCATTACCATAGGTTCAACAATGCGCGCAGTAGTGCGCGTCAGCCAAGCTGGTAGTAGGATAATTAATGATGTTGATGATCGTACCCTCAAACACCGCTTCTTATCTTGTTACACCTGGGTCTAATCTATAGTTTGTTCCTTTGTTGCCACATTGGTGCCTTTTGGCACCAAATGGCCCCAGTGCTAGAAACGAATATCATATTCGCAATCTTTCTTTTACGACCCTCCCCCTCCCTCCCGGCGGCCAAGTACGACCCATGGGTTTCGCACAGCGATGCTGTATCCTGGGTCAGAGAGGTTCCTAGAGTTCTTACTGATTTTTTGTTTTCCCTTCCCTAGAGAGTGACTGGACTTGATGAAATCATTATTAAGAGTTACTACCCACGATATGCAATCGCGAGGTTTGTCCTTAAGCCACAAACGCGAAAAAAAAACTAGAAACAGGCCCAAGTCGAACGCTTTTTAATAGTTTTACATGCAGTTTTCAAACTACACATGAAAACTTCCTCTTCTCAAATCAGGTACGCCTTAAAATGCTTTCCAAAAAATAAAGTTTGTTGATTAGATTCACAAAGTAACCGGGACATTACGTTTTGAAGATACTAGCGCATCCCGGCATGCCAGAAATCCGGCATCCATGAAGATGCACACTCGCTTATGAATTTTCGCATCTCTCATCATCCTTTTTTAGCAACACTTGAGAAACCTTAGCTGGGGCTGGCCCATAAAGCATTAATAAATGTTGAAAACCGCTCCAATATCAGAGTGGCAGCAGCAGCACGCCGCACCGCAATAATCTTCTAAATTCTACTGGTAAGCTATATAATCAACCATCTTTATTTTTTAGAGTAGCATTCCAAGTCATACTTGATTTGAGCAAGAAAGTTTTCATGTGCAGCTCAGAAATTGTATGTGAAACTATTAAAAAGCGCGACTTAGGCTTGTTCCAAGTTTTTTTTTCCGCGACTGTATAATGATGGTCGTGATCATGTCTGAAATGATATCATGTCAATTATCGAAATTCGATTGTGCCGGAAATTTCATCGCATTGAGTCAGGCTCAGCTTCGGCGCATTTTTTACAGACCAGCTATGTTTCAAATCGACTTTACTTAATGCATAATCACAGAGCTGTGCACTACGGCATTAACTCAGCGACAAAAAAAAGAACAGTACGGACGACACATTTGCAACGACAGGAACTACAGCGGAAAGAAAACGACTAATCACAACATGCACATATAGAACACCGAGGATTTATACATGACTTGCACACAGCGAATAAATATCAAGCATGGTCACGAGAACCGGAATGTTTACAAATGAAGGGCGACAAATGACTACGCTGGCACGCTAGAAACAATATTGTTTACATCACAACATACACTGGAATTAAAAACGTGACAACTTACGGAATACTCGAAGGACTACAGAGCCGTTAGTTTGATTAGCTGAGTTTAATCAAAATACTATGGGAGTAAAATTAAATCTTTATCACACCACCTAACGTGGCAGGAGTTAATTCATCCACAACCATTTCGACCCTGTGTCCTGCTAAGCGTCATTGCTCTCTGGGCTTATTCAAGTCGCGGAGATTGCTCAAAAATTTTTCTGGAGTAATGATCTGATCGGAGCCTGAAATTTATGATGAATCCGCTTGTTCAGCATGAATGCAGCTATTTTAACAAACCTATGATAACCTCCCACGGCTTTTTAGCTTGAGTGACTTCATATGCTGCACGCATTTCAGAGTATGTCAGCCCTCCAATAACGAACACAATCAAACGAGGACCACTACGGTACTGAGCCTGTTGGCCACGTTCCTTGTGCCATTGCCCATAACGTGCAGAAGTTGGCGCTCTAAAGATGTTGAATAAGTCAATCACGCCTCGTTTGAATCTTTAGAAATCGGACCACAACCTAGCACTACTTGCCCTTTACAGCCCCACTTTTCGAGAGAAAAAGTTCCATTTTCTAATCAAAATATCCCCAAAAAATACAGCTGAATAGTTTCGTCGCCTAAGGTAGTCTAACCCAGGACACAAAGAGAGCGTCAGCCCAACTTTTTATCGAAATCTCCACCCTCCGTAGATACAGTAGGGTCAAGTTTTCTTTTTTTTTTTTTTTTTTTTTTTTTTTTTTTTTTTTTTTTTTTTTTTTTTTTTTTTTTTTTTTTTTTTTTTTTTTTTTTTTTTTTTTTTTTTTTTTTTTTTTTTTTTTTAGGTTTAATGCTCACGTCTAGATACTATTGATCCATTGGACACGAATATGGCGAATGAATCCGTTTAGCTGTTCGAAACCTGGCTTGGTACGCGAAAAATGGCCAACCCCTGATGAAAAGAAAACCGGTGACTAAAGTGGCCTGTAAGAACGTGCATAACGGCCATTCCGAGATTCGTAGGTTAGGAATCGTACCACCTCCAATCGGGGATGCGCGAAGCAAGCGTAATTAAGCCAAAAACTCTATCGTTTAGCGAAATTTCCCGGTCATAAAAGGAAATCTTCGCCGCGCTCCGAATAGAAGTGCTGGACACTTTCTCCCCTTTTGGGAAGCGGCACGCATTGCACTTCCATTCGGAGTCGTGGAGTCTACTGAACGTGAAATCGCCTATGCAATGACTTGCGAGACAACCGATGAACAAGTCAGTTCATTCTCTCAAATGTATATGACACCAAATTATCGTTCTTGGAGGGTAGACAGCACGGTGGGCCGGGGTTAATCCAAGGACTGTGCGCGAGGTAAGAGTACCACTTGCCATCATGCCGTTTGATTATTTCTTTTCCATGCTTCAACTAATTTGTCGTTGTTCAATTTGGTTGTTTTGTATGTTCGTTTGTTTGTTTGTTTTCTTTTCTCAAATTACATGATCTAAGCATGTCCATAAATAAATAAATCTCCCGCACCTCCTACTATGATATGATACGAAATTCTGACTGTGTATCGTCAAGGGGCTGGTATAGACATAATAGACAATCAAAAGCCTATCTGAAAAGCTTTGAACTGTGTACCTGAATGGTTGGTTAGTCTGACGACCGGCAAGGAATGGGAAATGTTTTGTGTCAAGTTTATCGTCAATTGCATCTTCCATTATATCTTTCAGCGCTGGAACCCATCGCGAAGATTGGTATACCTGTTCGTTGGGTCGCTCTTTACGCACTGGGGTCCATACCTTTTTCCTACCTTGCTGAAATTGAAAGCATAGAGTTACTATTCTCAAGAAGTAGGATTTCACTCATACATCCGTTGTAATATTCAATCCTAGGAAAGCTGCATTCGTTATCGTTTCCTTTTCAGCCATGGCAATGTTGGCATGTTGAAGAAGCTTGTTCAAATTCTCGTCAGTAATTCCTAAAAAAAAATTAGATTTTCACGACGCTTGAATAGTCAGAAAACTGTAGACCACAGTGGACATACCGTTTTTACTGAGAATGTATAGAAGGATGAGTCTCAGTCTATCCTCAGTCTTCACAACAGGGTCGATCAGTAACGGCACCATCAGTTTCATCGGATCCTTCACGCGTTCTCCTTCAGCGTCAATTTGCGTAGCGAGATCCTAGGAGAGACCAGCCCATTTCTGTGCACTACACCTGTCCACGACTTTGTCACTTTACCTGTTCCACTTTACACAACTTATCTACTCCGCTTTGGTACTGTCGCATGCATTCTTCAGCCAAGTGAAAGTGAGTACTGAACAATCATGCAATTATTCCACTTGTTCAAAAGTAATAAAATAATGGGAAAAACGTGAGGAGGTGCCCGAAAGCCTCATTGAAAATTCTTGAAGAAATTCTAAAGTACCCACGAATCAATTCAAAAGGGAATCCAAAAAAATATTGACGATTTATCTCATCAATGAGGGTTACCGTAAGAGCAGAGCTCCATGCAAGCGGATGCAGGGTCTAGGACGAGGTCACACGTTAGCAGTGCATTTTTCTTAGGCTGCGTTCACACACTGCAGCAGCGTTACACCAGCGACCACCAGTGTTTCGAGCGTCCGTCAGCTACTAGGAAATATACCGATCTAGCGGACGGTAGCGTTTACCAGCGTCCACAGTGTTCAGGAATATTCTACTGTGTACTAGTAGAGCGCGGCTGCACATGCCACAACTTCACGACGCCTCACCCACCTGTCTACTCCCTCCTACATCTCCAAACTCTACCAGCAGTTTCCTACCTTCCCGCTTCCCTGGTGGACGCTGCCGCAAAGTATGAACGCCGTATTTCGGCTGAAGGGAAGTACAAGCTCCAAAATATCCGAAGAAAGTAACATTTCTGCGAGGACTTCTGCAACCTTTTTCGGATCTTCAGAGACTTTCGTGATTAATGCCTCAAGACCTGCTTCATCTATTTACATTAGCTCCCAATGAGGCCCAAGGACAATACAACAAAACAAAGAAAACCACCACTAAATGAAATCAACCTGAATTTATTCAGTTCTTTCTGATGCTGTGGCATCTTTTTGATCATCATGGACAAGTCTTTGATGGATTTTGCGTCTGCCTTGAAACCTGCTTTCGTATCACTGAACTTCTTCAGACCTTTTGTGACCTGAAATTGCAATTTAACGTGAACTTCTCTATAGAAGCGAGCAAATGCAGGAGGAAACACTTCTGGTGCCAAACTACTCTTGAGAAACTACAGCGATGTGTTTATGACGGCGGGTGTCGACCCACAGATCATCGTTCTCATCCAAAAGCACCTAAACATTGCTTCGAGATTAAGTAACGGAATGAATGTAAGCAACCAATAAAACCTTGAAAAGAATGCTCGCCGACCTCCTTCTCGATACTGTCATTTCCGCCGGTTTCGTACCGATACACATCGTTTTCGATCCCAAGCAAATCGTAGCACATCGCTTGCAGGGTGAGTTCATGGAGAAGTGGAGTAACAGCATCAAAACCGCGATCTGCACGAAAAGCATGGCTTATCTTTTTGAAGCTGTTTTGTTATGATAACTGCTGTTTAACGCCGCAGTACGCGTTCCGAATGTTATCACAAGAATGCTGAGTTGTGGGCAAAAGTCGTGCCCCAGGCGGGAGCACAGCTTCAAAAACATCTAAAGCCTTAGGCCTCGCGGTTTCATGCCGATATCCCATCGATTACGGCTGACCGGCTCACCAAGTTAAACGTGTGAGTGCTGATAGGCTACGGCATAAAAGCCGTTAAGCTGAGAGGGTAAAAGCGGCCCTGGTGGCGTAACGGATAGCGCACTCGCCCGGAAAGCGTGAGGTGCGGGTTCGACTCCCGCCTGGGGCACGACTTTTGCCCACAACTCAGCATTCTTGTGATAGCATGGCTTATCTGTTTGCTATAACAGGTACTGAAGCGCTGGCGTAAGTACTTGCGGCACTTTGTGCAATAGATTCGGAAATACCGTGGCCGCAATTTCGCACAAAAGCAATTTCAAGTGGCGATCACCTCCTCCCAGTCAGTTTCTTGCTTTTGAAAAAGAAACAAAGTCTGTGAGCCAGATAGGGTTGAGCGCACGGCAGCGTTCTGAGCGACTAGGAAAGTATAGGTATTGATCTAGTATTGAGTGTTTTTGCGAGCGGTTGCTGAAAACGCTGCCGGACGCTGGTATATGCTCGAAACGTCATATCGACATCTTTACTTCACCAGTCACTCACAAAGCTGGCGTACGCTCAAAACGCTGCAGTACGCTGAAAACGCTCACACAAAGTATGAAGGCACTTTTTAGCGAAAAGAGCTTCCGTGTATAGGCCACTCTACCTATACTGTGGTTCCCCTTTCCTAACCCCATACTGAAAAGTTTTTTGATCAAAATACTTATAGTGGTTTAGAGTGTTTCTTCAGTGTTTCTCTAATGTTCCAAGCCAGGAAGCCGCACTTAAAGACACATGGTACGCTCACATACATTGAGGGTGTATGTGACTATCAGCCCCCCAGCTGTCGATGTGTCGTGGTTTCCCCGCCCGAAACTGCACGGGGTTAGAGTACAGGGCCGTGGGAAAGTCTAATTCGTCCATGCTCCGCCCAAAATGCAACTTGCGGCGCAGACTCCCTTTATGCTAACAGCCGTCCGCGCGGCGCGTGTCGCGCGCAGCTCTCTTGGCTTTTTGCCAAGTCCTGTAATTGCGCTTTGGAATACAAGTAAAACGCAATTTCCTGATGCGGATAACATTTTAGGTGCTGCAAAATAAGAACCGAAGATACCAGAACTCAAGAGCAACTGTGCTGCTTCTGCAATATCCCTCAGAGGCCGCGCATTCCCACAAAACATGAAAATAAAAACGGCCCACTCGTTAGTTTAATACAAGCAAAACGCAATTTCCTGATGCGAATAACATTTGAGGTGTTGCTCATGCTTCAAAGTCCGAATAGAAGGTGATGAAGATGACAAAGGCTAGAAATGAAGAACAACGAATGTAGATGTAAATAAAACAAAATTGAAAAAACTAAGGAAACGCAATTAATTAAAATCGCGTGTGAATTTCTGCGATCCGGCGCGAATTCGGCTCCAAAGCCATAGAAATACTTTAAACTAACGAGTGGGAGCTTAGGCCGTTTTTATTTTCATGTTTTGTGGGAATGCGCGGCCTCCGAGGGATATTGCAGAAGCAGCACAGTTGCTCTTGAGTTCTGGCCCTCGTCATCATCTTCGGTTCTTATTTTGCAGCACCTAAAATGTTATCCGCATCAGGAAATTGCGTTTTACTTGTATTCCAAAGCGCAATTACAGGACTTGGCAAAAAGCCAAGAGCCGCGCGCGACACGCACCGCGCGGATGGCTGTTAGCATAAGGCATTGTTCACAGTCTCCAGGCCCTGACGAAACGGCGGTTGGGAGAAAAGCAATAAATAGTCATCGATCGGAGAATCGCCCAACCGTCCAACCGCCCAACCGCCGCGGTGGCGAAAAACGCCACCGCGATGGAGCTAGCGTTTTGTCGAAGGCGAAAAACGTCGCGGTTTGGCGAAACGCCCGTCGATACGTACCAAAACCCTTTCGCCCAACCGCCAGGCTCTTCGCCCAACCGCCAGTCGATATGTATCGAAAGCTTTTCGCCGAACCGCCGCGTTTCAGAGAAACGCTGGACCGCAGAGTGTGAACAATGCCTAAGGGAGTCTGCGCCGCAAGTTGCATTTTGGGCGGAGCATGGACGAATTAGACTTTCCCACGGCCCTGTACTCTAACCCCGTGCAGTTTCGGGCGGGGAAACCACGACACATCGACAGCTGGGGGCTGATAGTCACATACAACCCTCAATGTGTGAGCGTACCATGTGTCTTTAACTAAACCGGCGTACAAATGGTCATACCTATGATAAGCAGTTGACTACGAGCCTTGTCAGCTCCTTCTCCCATGGTTGGGTCATCAGCCTTGTAGGCGTCTAGTTTTTGTTCAACTAGATGGCCAAGTTCCACATTTCTTTCAAAGTCAGCTCGATACCTGAGAAAAGCTATCGCTTAGTAATATGAATAACGTTATAACTTTCAAACTGACCGCAGAGAAGGATATTCTCCTAGTGTTGCACAGACAGTTGCAAGTTGTTCGGCTATGCGCTCAAGATTGGATGTTAATCCTCCCTGTTTCTGAGCATTATAGTAAAGAAAATATGTGTCAGGTGAGTCCAATGTGTACACCTAAAAATGCAGCTTCATAACAAAACAAAAAACTCAAAAAAGGGCAGCAATCTAACAATTTTTAACCTACCTGACTTTCATAAGGAGTAAAAGCGATGTTGATTTCTTTCAAAGTTTTGATATATAGCGAGCGGCAGCAACTGCGAGACACAATTCGAAAATCAGTGTCAGTTACAAGCCCTCCGTGACAACACCATGGGCCGCATGTACTGTTAGTACCGTGTATCAGCAAATGAGGCCGCGATCATCTAAAGTTAAAAAAAAACATGTATATGAAAAAGTATCTGCAATGCCCTTTTTAAAGTACTGGTCAACCAGGAGCTCATATTTATATGATTCTGATTTATATATACAAGAATAGATTGAACTAATTCGATGTATTATTAGTGCTACTGTAAACAGGGTAGAGGTTGAAGCGCTTGTTGCCTCTTCGGAAAACGCATCCCATTCTATCTAAATTCGGGTGGCATTTAAATGAACCACCGAGTGCACATCGATTCAGGAGGAAGATTTTTGTGAACACCCGTAAGGCCACAAAACGTTACCAGTTTCATTTTTGAACACTGTGAACGAACTGGCCTACCCGGAACAATATTTTGTTTTTCTTTCCTTAGGCTCATTCAAGAAGTCTGATCCGAGGCAGAAACAAATTCTTGGTTCCTTCCAGCTTTCAATGCCGCCCAACATAAAAGAACAGAAGAAATGTGGCTACGAAGATCGAATTAGCAATTCTATAGCTCCAGCAGAAGCTCAGAGGTTCTCCAACCCGTCAGAACATAACCAGTGCGGAATCCTATTACAGGAAGGGTAGATTGATTCTTTTAACTCGGATTGCGAGCGTAGAGGAGATATCAAGTCATCATATATGGTAATACCAGAGCACCTGATTAGATGGGCGTGTACAATTATCGCGACATTAACGTTATATTCACGGAAAAATCATCGATACCCCAGGCTGAAATTACCCCGCCCGCGCCCACAGCCGCTGGCTGGCCCGCGCGCCCGGCATTCCCATGAGGGCGTAAGCTGGCCGCCGCTTGATTATTCGTCTCATTTCCCTTGTTTTACTTTGCACGTTGCAGACCTCCTGAAGCTGCTATTCTGCTGCGCTATAAGAAATGGATCTTTTGACCGCATTGAACCAATTATGAGAGTCTAATCGTTCCAAGCTAATAATATTTTACCATTCCTGAGTTTTCTATTCTAGGTTTATGGTCATTGGAGCCTTTACCATAGTAAATGAGTTCTGGTAAGGAGAACCAAAAAATATTGACGGTGTACCCTTGCCTGGAAGTCGAAGTACTTCTTCTTCTGAAAATAAGCCTACGAAAATGAAAAACAAATATTGTTCCGCCGGTAAGCGTCTCTGCGCATCTCGATATAAGCAAAACCTCAGCTGGTAACTAAGAAACATAGAAAAAAACTGCGGAAACGATGGGTTTTGAGTGTTGCCATCTTCCGGTGTTCACACACATCTTACTCAAGAATCGATGTGCACTCGGTGGTTCATTTAATGCCAACCGAATTTAATAGATGTGTCGCACGCGTTTTCATACCCGTCATATAAGGCGACTAATCGGAAATTTGTATATGTCGCTTCTAATTACACGCTCTACGTGACCTCTGGTATGCATGACACCCATAAAGTAGCACGTAGGATTGAATTACATTAGAAATAGAGAATAATTAAATTCTAATGCATATTTCATATATAGTATTAATATAATAAAAATAATAAATGAAATAAAACGGTGTCAATTGGATAAGAAATAAATTGGAGAACTGCTTTTCTGACAGCAGCCTAAGTGATTCCGAGAGCTAGACTGCTATACAGGTATTATTTAAAAGGAGCATTGCCAGCATACTTTTCCATTATACCCAATGGTTGAGTCATTTTTTTCTATTGTAAAAACGTTTAAAATATTAGAGATCGTCCTCGCATCATTTGCTGACTAACACGGTCAACTGAACGCCAAGTTACCACACAAGGGCCCATGTGTTTCACCGGATGCTCTCGGCACTAGCAGCGTGACGATCACATAAGAACGCTTTCTGGGAGTGGTGGACCATTGTGCATTTTCCGAATTGTCGTCGCACGTGGCTGCCGCGTCGCTAGAGGATATCTCGCGGAGAGTCCATAAAAGAGCACGCGAAGATGAGATAGAGAAAATTCATATAGAAATCAGGCCATCCGCCATTATATAAAGTAAAACTCAAGCTAAAAGTAGCTAGATAAGCGAAGCATCAGGAACTACATGCAGTTCAACTACAAGCATCAATTTGCGATTTGAATGAAATTAGCAGAAAATGTGTACGAACAAGTGATGAAGTACAAACTTTTTGCCAAACCACTTTCTGGAAACCCCTTTTTTGTATATGTCCCTAAACGACTATAAGAGGGCTAGAACGGAATAATAGGATTAACAAAGCACACAGGTGTGCGCCGATTCGAACGGTAAACTTTCCAGAGCGAAGCGCAAACAAATGATCAATGAGCTACCGTTTATGTCCAGAGAAGTTCTAAAAATACGCCTCACCACACTGTCAGAGCCAGCAGTGATCCATCGTGAACTGAAGAGCTACGTAAAGTACAAGGTATTTCTTAAAAACCTTTGACGAACATATTTCAAATGGTACAAATTCGTTAACGCCGATCTAAGCGAAGAAAAACTGTCGCGTTCTTCAAAGGTATTGCCGTTACCCAGCTCAAACTGCTGATAGCTAGATGATGACTTGGTAGAGTTCGTCTGTTGACAGAACAAAGTCAATAAAGAACATAAAGCGTTCCCCCTTTTCAAACACTGTTAGTTCCAAATGTACTGTATGTTGCACCTACAGAGTTATACTCTACCACTTGGATAGCGCGCAAAACTTTCTCGCATGACCTGGACATTTCGAAAAAGACTGGTCAAAAAAGGAGATTTAAACAATGGGAGATTTATAGGGAAGATCATCTTGACAACACTGTAAGGTATCTGTCCAGGGTAAACACCTAAACGGTTCATATTTCAAGACGTAAGGTGTTCATGGAACACTCATAGCACTGCGAAGTTGAAATATTAGGTTGTCCGGAAAGTTCTGCAGGTTTTGAGTGTTTCACTTTAAACGATCATAACTTTCTTAACACTCATCGGATTTAATCCAAATAAGCACCATTCGAATCAGCACACTTTTGCCAATGTGACAGCAGTCGAGAAATCCCATCAAAGAAAAAACTGGGTGGTCGAGAATTCACGAAATCCACGAAGGCTTTTTTGCCTGGTCCTGATTGATGAAGTATTTTCCAGCAAGGAAGTTCTGAAAATGTTTGAAAAGGTGATAGTCGGTTGGCGAAAGGTCTGAAGAATATGGCGGTTGAGGTAGAACTTCAACCCCCAATTCGTTCAATTTATGGATAGTGATTTGTGGGCGGGCGTTGTCATGCAAAAGAATCGGACCCTTTCTTTTGATAAGTGTTGGCTGCAGCTGACAAAATTTTCGGTACATTTCGTCGATTCCTTCACAGTAGGGTTCTGCTGTGATGGTTTGGCCTGGTGATAAAAAGTTATAGTGGATCACACCAGCCGATGACCACCAAGCCGTGACCAGAATCTTTTTTCGTGAGGGTTCGGCTTTGAAAATTACCTCGGTGGTTCGTCGAATCCAACCACTGTCCGGAACGTCTCCTGTTATCATACATGATCCATTTTTCATCACAGGTGACAATTCGGTTCAAAAACGGGTCGTTTCTGTTGCGCAAAAGCAGTGAAG